CCCCCCGTATGCGAGCCACTTGCCACTGTACCACCTCCGCCTCCAAGGTTGTAATAGTAAGAATAGAAGGTCTAAAGCCGCGTGAAATTGAGTTCCCAAAGCGGCCAACATCTCCACTGCGCACCTGAGCCTGAGCAACACTATCGCAACGGTCTAGGCTGTGGGTATAGGGCTTAGCCTGCGTCCTTGTTTCCGAGCCTCTTTCGTCTTTCTGAGCTAGCACCACCCTTTTTCACTTCGCTTTGAATCCCAAGTTTAGGTTAAAGCAGTAAGGCACGATAATTTGGTATTTGCTCAAAAATAGAGCAGGGATGCTAAACGAAATAATGGCGAGAAAGCGAAGTCAAACGACCAAAAACTTGCGAAAGAGCTTCTGTTCTGCACGGCATCGGACGAGCATTTTGGACGAGGTTCTCGTTGGCATCATGCCAACCGCTTTGATAGATATGGCTGCACGCATTATAGCAACGAGACAAGCTTCATGTCAGTTGTACTTCATAAATGAAGCGATAAGAGTGCCAGATTCGATGTGACTGTGCGGCCATTTGTGGGCGGGCGGTTGCGGTGGGCGTCTGGGTCGGCATGTTGCACCTTGGTTAGACGCTATAACAGAACCCATGGTTGGAAAAGGGGTCACACAGCGCCTGCTAAGGGGTGCAGTATTCCTTCGTGCTGAGCGTATCGGCCATGAATGCCTTATTGAATTATCGTGCCACTTGCCTTTAAGTTTTTCAGTTTGACCACTAACCCGGACTCTTCCGCCCTTACATCCGCCGAAACTCCTAACCTACTCCTACTTTGCCTCAGTCCCATCTCTGCTCGTTACTTTATTATTTTACTCTATGCCGTTCTGTAGTGGGCTCGAATATTGGCAAGCTTATTCTTTTATTATTCGCCATGTTTGAGGGCGTAAGAAAAGTTTCAAGATGGCAGCTTGGTGTGCAGAGAACTTACGAGATCTTGAGGTACGTACCGTCGTGACTACTGAAGACATCCTTTGGTTGACCTCTGAGTTTATCAGGACCAATCCGGACTCACTATTTAGGGTTGGCGTGCTTCTGGATTGCCGTTGACGACGCCATCGAATGAATGTGCACGGCTGTTGGATGGCGCTGTACGCCAGTTTGTGTCGTGGACCGATTGCGAGCAGCTGGAAGGTCTTGACAAGACACTTGAAAAAATGAAAGCAGCGGATGAAAATGCAGGTAACTGTAACTTGAAGTACAACGGTAGCAAGGGCCTGTAGAAAGCTGAGATGAATTTGCAAATACTATGTTCATATGCGGATGCTGGGGTATTACATGAGGTTGGGGCGGCGTTGGCATGTATCTCAATAATTGTGGTCGCTTCACCTTCAGCAAGTGTTGGAGAACATTCCAGCGCCGCACCACACCCATGAGGGCTCGCGTCCTGCTATACCAAAGCCCCCCGTATCGGCAACGAGCAAGAGTTCTTCCAAAAACACTTCCCGCGACTGCAATCTTTGGGCAGTAGACCAGAAAAAACGCAGTGAGATAGTTGACTTCCAGTGGGGAGGAACCGTCAGAAACTGCTCTGATAAGGCCCTTATTCTCGTGCTTGATCATTGTCTGGGCGTGATGGTCATGACGGAGCTGTAAGAAGGTGCCGTTGTCCCGGAAGGACGGGGAGAGAGTCTAGGGAAGGGAAGGGTGAGAGTGCCCAACGGCATTGTCCCGACGACTCGAGCAGTCTTGCTGCTGATGCTGTGGCATTCAGAGCAAGATGGAGAGGGGAAGGGTTGGGTTTTCCGCGGTGTCATCTTGTACTCCACTAGTTGGAAGCTGGTACGATCGCCAATAGAAGGAGAACTGGCAAACACGCCAAACTTCGCGCCCCCAGCTATGCCTCAGCGTCCGCAGCGAGCAAACTGTAGGCTTAATGTGCCCTTGGCCAAGCACTTAAGCTTCTCCCGCCTTTTTTGCCAGTTGTCAAGTTCTAAATGTTGTGCAGCCTCTGCAATGGCTGACAGGGTTACTTGTACGCAGGGTACAGCATCGTGATGTGTGAAATTGTGGTGTTGGTTCAACACCCCCCAACACCAACCTACCCCTTTCCTGCAAGTTCCCAACATCCCACCAGTTTTTCCCCACATTTTCCAGCTTTTCACCCAAAAATTTTCCGTCGAGTGGGGAGAGGGCGCGAGGGGGATTCAGTGTGAAACGGGCTACTCAAAGGCACATACGACCCTCCCCTCCCAACAACGACCGAATATGACCTCCTCGCCCGTTCCTAGCGGCCAACTACGACCCCCCCTATTATGTTTTCAGACAACAATGCTGTATCCTGCTGCGTACGGTCAATGCCTTTCGCTATAGCTGGCCCTGCCTCCAATACCTCCTTCGGTCCCTTAAAATCACAGTCTAGCACTGATCTAGACATAAGCAGAAGATCCTGACTCCTTAAAAGGCAGAACCCGCGATTATTCGCCATCTCAGATGGTGGATTAGGGGGTTCCATATAGACGACAAGGGGTTGAGTAACTCGACTGTAAACAAAAAAGCACAAAAAACATGCCACCTGCCCTAGATAGAACCCCATTTCGATCCCAGTTTGTACGTGCCCAATCAACTCTATCTCCAAAACTACGCCCTCATATGCACAGCTGATTCACCGATAAGATTTCTACGATCGTACAAGTGACGATTATCATGCTTTTTCGTCCTGCAATCTCATTTTTCACTGGAAGCCGGTCATTAGAGGCGGAGTCTGGAGGCGGAGTCACTGGAAAAAAGGAGGAGCCACTGAACCTATATTGCGCTACAGCGCCCCTCCCATAGAATTTTTTGCCGCGAAACCGGTACAAGGTTGTTCGTCGCGGACCACTCTAATCTTCAAGTTCGATACCTGATCGCGGACGGTGCCTTTAACTAATTGCAGTAAAGTCCACTTCTCGAGTATGTGTATAAGCTTCACTTTTCAATAGGGCTTTTCAGTGCTGGCTCGGGCGTTTGCTCTTGGAATTGAAGCGATTGGTACAGGAACTAGTGCCAGAACAAACGCAGAGTATCGGGAACAACTCCAACAGCTTCAGATTGACGCTGGCAATAACGGAAACGAACGCGAGCAGAAGCATGCCAAAGCCGTGCTACAGTTTGCCGAAGGGTAACCATATCCTCTTTCTCATATCTTTATTGTCGTTTCCCTTCTTCTACACCGCTCGTTCCCTCCTCGACGTCTGATCAGAGATTTCTGCATGCTCCTACTTTTTTGCTTTCCCAAGCTGCGTGTAAGGAGGTGTGAACAGCTGCATCACATTGAGAATACGAACAGATTTGGTTATCTCGACGGGCGTAGTTCGGCTAAGGGGGGGGGGGCATTTTGCACTTTTGCTACTTCCCATCGACGTGTCGACCTATCTAGACAGCCTCTTCTCGAGTTGACAGGTTTTACCATGATGGCTAGATGAGCTTGCTCCAGCTTCACAAGAGTTCACAGGTTTCGCCAGAGTGAGACTTGTAAACCGGAACTAGGGAAGCAATAATAATACAAAATGGCCCCCACGTAGCCGAACTGCACCATCTTGGCGCGCCCCCTTCCTTCCTAGTTGACTGACCCTTTCGCAGCACTACAGTATAAAATCACTTATCTGGCCGGAGTATCGCAGCGCCTATGCAATTTCGTCGCTCGGTCGCGATGCGGAACTCTTCGCAACCACTCTGTGACGGGGTGTGGGAGCAATGACTGAAATAAGAACAAGTACGGGCGCAGGAGATGACGTTCACTAGAAGAGTAAATTGCCTGCGCAGATTTGGCGTTAGCAAGCTGCGCGACCGCTCGCGCGCCACCTATGTAATGCGACTGCGCCTTCGCCTCATAGTAGTCGTATGAAGTGTATGAACAACGGTCACTAGCCATCGATCTGCCCATGACCCCTGTGGAGACCTGCAAATTTCTGGAAAGCAATGCTGCAAAAAACAAGCTTTGTTCACCCTTGTCAAGAAGCTACAGGTCCCACCAAGGTAAGGCATGTAATTCAATAGGAATTAACAAAAGATTTTGGCCAACGTGCAAAATGCTCCTCCCAAGCAGTAACCAGCGCATTTAATTTTACGGTATTACTAAGTGCGGGTCCCAATGAACCGTGCTGTAAAGTATTCCTGAATGAATGTAGATTTCACGTGTGTTCCAGGAAGCAATCTGCAGCTGCTCAGACATGGGAGGACATCCTCAAGGACCATCCAACCGACCTTATTGCAATCAAATTCGCTCACGACACCTATTTCTACCTTGGTGACTCGAAATAGCCGCGATTCCATCAAGGCCGTTATGTCCGAAACATCAGGGGAACGCGGAGCATTGCTACAGGTATGTTTTGGTGGGCACGGATTAGCATAGTATGGATTTTGACCTAAAAACCTTTTTTTGTAGCTTTTCCATGGATATGTTTTAGCTTTGGACTGGAGGCGTGTGAGAATATTCGCGATGGCTGAGGAGGAAGCTTTAAAACGGTGATCTGGGTTGAATGATCAGTTTTCGAAGCGCTTTTATGAAAAGCGGAGTTCAGGGTTTGGAACTGAATCGCTTCGACTGCTGGTCCACCCATGCACGTGCACACGTAATAGAAATGCAAGGACGATTCGATGAAGGTATTGCATTTATGGAGAGCACCGAAGAAGACTGGAAAGTGACGTCTCATTTTTTTTCCGATTTCGCCCATTGTACTTGAGGGGAAAAGGAGACCTATTGGGAAACTCCTGTCTGTTGTGTGGAGCGAATGTCGGATGGGGAGTGTGAGGGGTCATTTGCGGCGCGACTCTACCCCCATGACGTTGCTTGTTATTTCTTGTCTCGCCGTCCTGTCTACTACGCCTTTTCGACACCTAGAGAGGAAATAGAGTCTTGTTCACCGCGGATGATGAGCCGTGTGGGCCGGTCAGTGAGGCTTCATTTGGCGCGCCAACAGCCCATTCTCCGTCAGTTGTTGGAGTGGTAAGCGACTAGAACTGGTGGAACACGACTAATACGAACGATATCATTCATTTACCGCTTGCCGAATGACGAAAACGGGTGGGTACTGCGCAAAATCCATTCCCCTCCCTGACACGCCCCATCATCCGTAGCGAACAAGACTGTTCGCGCCACGTTTACGTTTCGTTGAGGGGCACGTGCATGCAGACAGACATGATGTGGCATAGTCTGCTGCTTTCGCTATCCCCCGCCCAGCTCCTACCTCCGGTCTATGGGAATTCTCAGTATAGGGAACTGTACTGCTACAGTTAGCCGAGTCAACTATCTAGGAAAAGCCGCGTGCCAAGTTACTTTCATCCTGTCACCGCAACTCGAATCTCCTGACTCATACCTAATTTGGTTTCAGGGAAGTCTGATCTGAATACCTCACAACATCGTGAATTACGTGAATTTTTAGCGAGGATGGATGCTGGCCGCGCATAATTACTGGCACAACGCTCTGTATTACCTTGAAAAGGACATCACTGAAGTCCCACTGGAAATTTATGACAGGTAATTATATTTGTCGTTGTCTTACCTAAGTTTCTGAACATGCGACGGGGCGGAGAAGGATGCGGAGAATCCGCAAAGAAGGGAATATAAGTTTTTTCATTAGAAATATTTAGAGTTCGCGAAGGAATAGCGACAAATTGAGTGATTCGCCGTTGACGGGGGTGCGCCGCTAACATCGAATCCTCCCTTGGGTGGAGTCATATCCGTTGATACATTCAGTCATTATTCCTCCAACCGAGAGGGCGTGGATTGGAGCGCAGTTAGAGTAGCCTTTTCCACCAATGGAGTCATGATGGCATCATTTGGTGGGGAAGACCACCCAGTCCTCGCTCCCATCCGGTCCTTCACAACGCCACATGTTTGCAAGGACGGTGACTGTATCTGATGCTTTCCAAGCTTTCTCCGTTTCTAAAAGCCCGAAATTTGAAAAAAACCCCTAACTTCACAGACTTGCTCGCTGCAGATGTTGGGTCCTCCCCGTAGGCTGGATTGGCGCGGCTCCGTTCTTCACCAATTGTAGGAGCTGGCGCTGTGCCAGCTTCAGCCACCGTGACCCGCGCAACAGCCACAGCAGACAAGGCTGTACGTGAGGTCTTTCGAATTTCATGCCTTGAACTGCACAACTGAAAAAGTAGGTCACATGCAGTTGCATCTCACGATGTCGGACGCGTGCGGTTGCGCCACGGCTTTATGTCTTCTATCTTATATCTTCTGAATTATCAGGCAAATCATACCACGTGCAAAGAAAAGCGGTGCCATGTTGGATATTGTGGATGCGGCATCGATGCTATGGCGTCTTGAACTCGAAGGTGTCGCAGTGGGAAATAGGTAATTAACCGCTTATTGATGGTTGTGATGATGGCTGTAAGGTTTGTGTGTAGCTAAGAACCAGTCAATTCGAAATACTGATGAAGAAAGGTGACATCCAGT